ATGTGTCATGCCCGGAGTATGTCCAGAGGAACAAGCGTACTACCATTGAAAGTCTCTCAGCGCCCTAGTTTGCGTGCCCTTGCAACCGTTTGTTCTGAACGAAGATAGGTTGGGTGGTGCGTGTGTGTGGTCACTCAAAGTTGCAGTGCATGCCTGCGTTGTTGCTCAGTCAACCAGAGCATTCTCATCAGGAGGCGGAGGTCTCCGCGCCCGCGCTACGCGGCTTTGCCAAGGCACCAGCTCCGCTGGATGTTTTGTTGCGCGGCAGCTTGTTCTCCATCAGTGAATTTAATTCATAGGGTGTTTGTGTGTGTGTTGTTCTTTGGGGGACCCCAAACAAATGGTGCCTTTCCCTTTGGTTGTCCTTCAAAACCGCACCAAAATCCAAAAAAACGGTACCCTCAAAAACCACACCTCGACAATGATACCAGTGCAGGGCTCATGGCCCTTGGTCCGCCATCGCCTCGCGACTAGACGCACCTTTCGGTCCAAAACCTTCCCATGGCTCAGAGGCTTTCAATGAAAAGGTTGCGCAGACCCGCTACAAATCCACAACAGCCAACGCTGAGATTCGTGCGCAGCGCCCAATCGATCGTCAGGTTGCAGAGGACGGAACCCCTTCTGCAAGGTACCTGCCTTCACTGCCCGAAATCCTGCTGGCGAGGAAGACACTTTTGGCTTGGGGGAATCCAGAGACCCAAACATGTCCCGGATGTAGGCGAGAGTTGTGGACTACACGGGGTGCAACATAGCCCATATGGTTGAATGTTCCCAAGGGGAACCAACAGGGGATGGATATTTCTGGGTTTTGCCAGACCCCCCCTATCCAGCCATGTTGGGGAAAAAAGGCAATTAGACCATCTCAAACATTCAGGTTTGCACTGAAGGCGTGTGGTTTAAGGGTACCTTTCCCTTTTTTGGGTGTTCGGAAGGGAAAGCAAAGGGAGACCGAAGCCTAGCGAGCGCCTCCTATAGGTGCCCTTTGGAAGTATTCATAGTGAGATCACGCAAACAAACAAGCAGAGATGCGAGGGAAGCCGGGCTGTTACAGTTACAGGGAAACCTCGAACATCCCCCCGCTTCCCCTTATCCCGCTAATTTGTTTTCCCAACAATCAACAGACGCTGATGTTGCCTTTTCAAAAAAACTCCCAACCTTGGTGCAAGGTTTGACCCCTGCAGGGCCCTCTGCCCTCTTCAACTACGAAGGTTTTCTAGGGTACATGTTCAATAATCTGTGTGGGTGGTGACTTCTTGTTCAAAAGCGCGGGGGCTGCGGTGTGTCCAAACAACAGGGCTCGCTATTTGTCCCCTTTCGGGACGGTTAAGACTTTACCTTTTGGGGCTAGTTAATGGCTAATGAAACAGGAGTTTCCCTTCGGTGGGGTGATGGGGTGATGCTCGCAGGGGAATATAGAGAACCTTAAACAAATATTTCTCCGACCGCTCCATGAGGCACCGATGATGTCTGAGGAGGTCAACTCTGCAGGCGACATGCAGGCACTGCTGATGGGTCGATGGACATTGGGCGGAGCGCCAAAGCCCTCGTTGGAACCTCGGGCCACCCTTTTTGGGTTCCGGAAAAAAAACAAGCGCCGGGTGTTGGACGTTGGATATTGGGCCACCCTTGTTGGGTTCCAGGTAAAAAGCAGCATAACTTGCAGGGGTCTGACATATGGTGTGCCTTTTCGCCTTTTGTTTCGCCTCCTTTGGAACCCAACGAAAAGTCGACTTGGGTTCCAAGGGCGTAGTGCCCGAACCAAACTACCTTGAACTCTTATGTGTTTTGTTTGCTTGTTGGGCGTCTTTGGTGTTTGAATTTGTTGGTTGGCTTCTAGCATCCCTTGCAAATTACAACAGGGGGTGGGATGTAACCATCGGTGCGCTCAAGACAGCGTTTTGTCCTGTTGGTAACTAATTTGACGCCATCCAACAGGGCCGTGGGACACCAATTGGACACCAGGCGCTGTCGAATCCGTGGCCGCAGTTGAGCTCCAGGAAGAGACGGTCTCAGCCCTCGAATTCGATGTAAGGAACGCCTCAGGCCTTGGATACGGGTTGAAAGGGTTCCAGGAACGCAAAGCTATGCCAGAAGGGTGGGAAGAACTACGTGGACAACAAAGGCAAGCCCCATGACATGGGTTCCAATCCAAGAACATACTCGTAGCCACTTTGAGGTTGCCTGGAATTGGGACGAAACACCAACCTTCCCTTGAAGAGGGGATCTTTAAACACATGGGTGTGTTCATTTTGAGTGTGGGCCGCAAAAGTAAGCATGTGTTTCACTTCCTCACCTTGTGTTGGGAAGCTGCCCCCCGCCCTTTGGTGTGGTTCGTTTCCTTGCCACCAGCCGAATAGGATATGTCCATTCAACCCCCTCCTCTTGCGTGGATTTCTGAACAGATATCATGGGAGGGCCGAGGGGGGCCTAGCTTTGTGGTTTTTGAATGGATCTCACGTGGCCAACCGCCTCTCCCGAAGTTCAACACCTCGAGATCTGCCCAAAAAGCAGTCGCTGCGGGTGGCGGGTTGCTGAGGTTCAAAGTCTTGGGACTGCGGAAATGTGTCAAAATAGGAGCCGCCCCCAAACAAACAGAAGGATGCGGTGGTTGGCCCTTGGTTTCCCTTTAAACCAACCTGAAAACTCAGTGGTTCCCAGCCATCCCCTTAGTGGTTTTTCGCTTTTTAGTGTTTGGTGGGGATTTCCATTTAACCTACTAAAAGTCAACTTAGCAGGGGATCTGAGGGCAGCCCAGAAAAGGGCATCCTCAAACCACAGCGCGATGGTTGAGAGGTGCAGGCGTCCGGCGGGCTGAGCGTCCTGCGGCAGCAGGCGTGAGGTTTTTGGCCTTGAAGCCAGACCCCCGGCTCACTCGAGCTGCTGGACTTCGAACTTTGCCATTGTAGGGGTACCCTCCCACCAAACATGGAAGTGCAAAAAGGCCCTTTTCAAGAGGAAAGTCGTCTTTTTGCAGGGGTCTGGGCAGTTCCATGTTAGCTGGTGGGAGGGTAAATGAAAAGTTCAGACTGGGACTTTCACTTTGTAGGAAGACCATTTTGGTGGTAAATAGCAAGTTCAGACTTTTCTTTGGCCGTCCACTCAGGAAGTAGCGCCCAGGGTTACTCACCCCGAACCCGAGAAAGAAGAAGCAGCCACTCCGCACCACGCCGGATCCTATCTAAGCAGAGTCCCCAAAGCTTTGAGCTGGGGAGAAAAAAACAAAATCCGGGGTTCTCGGGGTCCATGTGTTTGAGCCACACCCATGTCAACCCGAAACTTCTTGCTTTCAATGGACGAAATGGCAGTATGTCCAGCACCATCCGTACCAAGGGCCTTGTTGCTTTGGATTCCTTCTTTTCAGGCCTGCTACAAGGACCCAGAACTCCACCCTTGAACAAAAATACGAGTTTGATGTCCCAAGAGAATCTCCGTGGCTTGACGGACTCCGATCGTTGCACGGAGCCCAAAGAATCTTAAACTACCTCCACTTGAGAGGGCTCCTGAAAGGGGTCAGGCGAATTTTTTTTGTTACTTTGTCCCAAGTGTGTTGACCCCTTGGCGAGCCTTCTAGCGCGGAGATCAGTCGGATCGAGCTCGCCAGGCGCAGATCGAGCTGGCAGAGGCGCCGAGTCGGCGCGCAAGCGGCAAGCTGATGGGAGCCACGCAAATTGGATGGCCCCGAATTCTTCGACTTCTGCGGCTTTTGCTGGGTAGAATCACGCTCACCAATGGCAGCTGCGTTCAAATGTGTTCAAATGTGTCAACTCGAGGTACCTTGAGAATGTTCAAAAAAAACATGAAGCTATTGAAAAAAAAAATCCCCCCTAAAAACGGACAAACACACATGGTCAAAAGACCTAGCTCAGGCTCGGGCGGGCTGGTGATATGATCCAAGGGAATTGGGACGAGCATTGAAAGGTATCCTAGTGAGGGAATCATTGCAAACATATACAGGTGGTTTCCTAAAGCGAACCTCCCGTCTCTGTCTCTGGAAGCCCAAGCGGCTCTCCAATTTACCCGTGGCCCGAAAATAGTTTGAACGGGATTGTAACATGTGTGTATTACTGTGCCCCAAATTATCCAGCAATTATCTTCAGTGGACAAGGGGTGGTTTCGAGTGAATGATACCCTCCTGTGCAAGGAAACCTGGAACCTGTCAGAGGGTCCTAGAGGAGAATGGAGAATCGTCTTCGAGGACCCCGAGACGTCAGGTCCGAACTATGTTAATGGAACCCCTCTTCCGTTTGGTTTCGGGCCCTCTTATTCCATTGGACGGGCGGATGGCACAGGCGGCGGCGGACGCGGCGGAGGCGGAGACGCTGGCCGCACAGGAGACGGGGCCTCAGGGAAATGCTGTTTGTGTGAAGCAGGTGTCTCAAAAAACTGAAGCCCCAAAAAAGGCATGTAGACTTTTTCTATATGGTGGTTTTCCTTCTGGTGTCCCTTTCACCACAACAAGGGGTACCCTTAAAGAAGACATACCCAGATGAGTGATTGCAATTGTGTTGCAAACTTACTTGTTGTTATAATCTTGGATTGAAACGAACTCCGCACAAGGCCCAGGCAATAAAATAGCTGTTTTGTTTCCTTGCCCTTTGGGCAAGTGAGTTAAACCTCATGTAGGGGAGCAAGGGGAGAGGTGATGAGGAGGAGGAGGAGGAGGAGGAGGAGGAAGGAGGATGAGCATTACAATGATAATCGTTTCAATAGTTTGGATGAATTATAACGACCTCACTCAACCTCACCCCAAATGGTGGTTTATGTGGGGAGTAGCCCCCCAACCACCTTATTTCAGGTTGGTGAAATATAATAATTCACCCAGCATGCCCAAGGGTAGGCGAGCTGCAAGCCCACGGCGGACGGCTTGCCCACGCTGCACCACGGGTGTGCCATGAAGCCGGCGCTACAGTCGCCACCGCGGCTGATGCGTCGAATGACATGCTGCCGGATGGCGTGGCCATAGGCAAACGTTGACTCATAGCTTTATGATTGAAATTAATGACATGTGTGTGGTTAAAATAGTTTTTGTACCACTATCCAGCATTGACAGAATGTCCAAACATTGACTTGTTTGTTGACATTTGGATGTCGGGGATGATGAATTTTACCGTCGATCATCCTTCAGGTTTATGATATTTCTAGATGTCCGGGAGTATTGTTCTGTGCTTGGGACTTCCGTGGAATTTCAGCGGTTCTGCTTGGTTTGGCGTGCCTTTCTGTGGCGCAAATGTCGCGCAAGTTCGATCGGAACGATCATGAAGCCCCAGAAAGCAGGCCCCCCAAAGCAGATTCAAATAACAACGGTGGGTTTTAGGTTCCATGTTAAACTGTAGGGGATTTCCAGTCCCAAAGCTTGTTGTTTGTTTCAGTCAATGTTGGTCGACTATTTCTTGGGGGTTGTTTAGTGCATGCGCTCACATATCTTCTTGGATGAATTCGATTGATGCTTTCCAATCGACTGTCTCCCAACGCATTTTTGCAGGTTTGTTTTGAGCGGCCGCTTCCCGCCAAGAATGGGAAGCCTGATGCTCCACCCATCCAATCCATCAATCTGCTGACAGAATCTGTTTGTTAAGAAGCTTTGTCGACTACTGAGAGCTCCTCATGACAGTCCAAGTTCCCTACTGCTGAAGGATTTGTTCCACGATTGAGTCAAACGAGTTCTAAAGATATCGACTTATGCGAGGTGATACTGTCCATGGACAGAATCCTGCACCACCTAAGAAACCATGGTTGAAACCAGTTGTTTGTATTTGCAGGGGAAGAACATATTTTTTTGGTGACGATTTCCCTGTAAACACCGACAAAGAATGGTTTCAGCCATGGTTTCAACGGTGCGGAAAGGATATTTCCTCCAGGTTCTGCCCAGCGGGTTCTGTCGTCCGAGGCTGCGGCGGGCGGACGTGGCCACCAAGGAAGCCAAGGCGCTCTCGCAGGCCTTGGCGCAGAGTTCGCCGGAGGAGTTGGCTCAGGCGCTGCAGGCCGGAGACCGGACGCGGCACGCGCGGGTTTGTAGGGACGGGACCCCACCCCGCGGCTCCAAAACAGTGGTTCCATGTGGTTCCCCCCTTAACGACCCCAGCAAAGTTTTCAAAGGGGGGAACCTGGAACAAAAGGACACACGTTCACCTTGCGCCCAGCACTTTCCCTTTGGGTTTCCGTTTGTTTGACCAAACGGCAAGCTGTAACTTGCGGGGTCGAAGTTGTTAAATACGCGAGACCTGCTCTGCAACTGGTCAAGATCGGGCAGAAAGCGCCTCCACTGCATTGCAGCTGTGGCTCGCAGACTCCGTCAGCCCGCCATGCCCCGCCAGAGCAGCCGCCCCTCTGCCAAGGCGCCCCGGCGCCAGGCGCCAGCGCCGAAGCCGAAGCCGGCGCCGGCGACGAGGCCGGCGCCGCAGGCGCCGTCACTGCCAGCGCAGTCGGGAGGAATGCCCCTCGTGCTGCGAACAGATGGACTCAGAGTCGTTCCATTCAGGTCAACTTAAGGCTTGTAAATTGTGGTTCCCCCCCCCTCAAGAGTTTTCAAGACCAAATTCAGAAGAACACGACCCCAGGCCATCATTTTTTTGTAAGGACCCTGGTGTTTCCCCGGCAGAAAACACAAAAAAAAGAAGAAGCAAATCCGGGCGTCCGAGCTGAGGTCAGGGCTCATGGGCTCCATGATGTCTGGCATGGCCACTGGCACCGGGTTCTCCCTGGGGAACCGGGCAGCGGAGGCCGTCTTCGGGCCGCGGCAGGCGGAGGCGACGTGGCGAGCCGCGCTGGTGGGAGAGGGTTTTGAGTTATTGGAGGGGACTGGGGAAAAAAGAAAAGCGGTTCCTGCGGTTCCGGACTTGCATTTGAAATAATGGAAAAACGTAAAGATAGCATTCAATTGAATTTGTAGATACTTGATACTTGTTGGGAAGACAATTTTGGTGGCACAAAAAGAAGCTTGAACTTTTTTTGCAGAATGTAGGTACTCAAAAAGTGAGGAGAGGGACCCTCAAGAATCTTGGCCGTTTTGAGGTCCCGAGAATCTTGTTTTTTGAGGTTCAGCCCTTTTGCCACCCCGCAACCTGCTTGTGTAGGCTACCAACCTACCTCCGAGGTCCATTTTTTTTTGGGTCAACAGGGTCCTTGAAACGAAAACCTGTGGTTTACACTTTGTTGGCCCAAGGCTCACTTGGTGATTTCCCCCTAGGGCTTAAACTGTGTGCCAGTATCACCTTCTGATTCTTAGAATCCTTCCAAGAGACTGAAGCTTCTAACCTAGGGGTTGGGAGGGCTTGTTTTGTTCCCAGAACCGACTTACCCGTCCCACAACCAGCTCGCGTCTCACTCAGCAGCGAAGGAGTGGTCAGAGGCCCACCTAGGAGGTCTCACGGGGTATCCTCCATGTTTCACAGGGTCAATCTAAATGTAATTACAAGAGCCTGTTTGAGACTTGCCCTGGCACTGTTACCTAACAGCTTCCTTGAAGCCAACTGTCTTTTTGTTCTGTAGAATTGTTCGATGCAATTAGATCAGCGGAAACCACTGTCACTGTGCTTCCAACTGTTATACCTCGTCAATCAAATAAGCGGGGGTGTCCTACAATGAGGGAACCCCAAAAGGAATGGTTTCCGCTGAACTCCCTTGTTGAACCACCCCAAACAGGCACCAAGTCCAACACATGCACCACTCCAAATGCAAGCTTTTGACAAGCAAATCTGCAAGGGACAAGCAAATCTGCAAGGTGACCCACCGCTACGAGGACAGACCGAGTGAGAAGAGCGAGAATGCGGACTCGAGCCAGAATCCCGGACGGAGTTTGCAGCTTCTTTTTTGCTCTGTTGCTATTGATGAACAAGATCCGCTCAAAACGCATCAGTGGAGACGGATGAAATGAAAGAGATCTTGTCATAAACCACTGCCCAAATGGTGCGAAGTGGTTTGTCCATCAGTATGTTGCTCTGCTTTTTGCAATGCTGGAGTTCGCCCGAGGCCTTGCCTTTGCCGCTTTTGCTTTCTGTTTTCCTGTTTTCCGTGGGTCGAAGGAGGCTCCTTGGGGAGCCTGAGGAGCCTTGGATACAGCCGTCGGATTAGGGGCGTCATGGGTCGCATCTGATCAGGAACCAGAGTCGCCAGAAGAGGTGCCAGCTCCAGCAGGACCTGCTGGATCAGTGCATGCAGTCTTCCAGTGGCCCAGCTCTCAAGTTTGCTTCTCACCTTTTCAGCACCCCCGCCCTTTCTATTTTTCTTAGGTTCCCTTGAAGATGATCAACCCGGAATCAACCCTGAAAAGGTGTCCAAACCTGTTCCGTCACTGGGCAACTTGGTATTGCAATTCAGTTGTTCCGCGCCTTGTTCTTCTTGCATCTTCCGAGGGCTGTCCATTGGTACCCAAAATGGCCCATACAAGCGCACTTGAGGTACACATGGACCACCCTTTCAAGGTTCCTGCTTTAAAAGTAGGGTTCGATGCAAACAACCCTTTCCAGGAAATACGGCGGCTCTGGGAAAATCCAGGCATAGAGTTTGGGGTGTCAAACTAGGTCGTGTTGCCAACTCGGGGTGTAGCGGGGAACCCCTGGGTGCATACCAAGTCCCAGGACCGACAAGGGGAAGTCGCAAAGGGGGGGATGACTCGCTTCCTACCCAATCAGTGTGCCATGATCACCGTTTTGCTTGGTGTAGGTGTTGGATGGCAAGGATTCCGATGAAGGGAACCGTGGTCATATGGAGTTTTGCCCATGGCACATGCGGAAGCTGAAAACAGTTTCCCAACGAGGCACTATGTCTTTTAGCACGATGTTTTGTGAGGGTGAATCTGCAGGAGAGAGGGCCGCCCCTTCAAATTTTAGCTATTCAATTGTATCCAAACAGGTGAAAAGGCTGGGATGATTCAGTGTTCAGCCATGAGACTGATCCTTCCAATAGACAGAACTACACCTGTGGAACATGTCAGTTGGTCCAAATAACCAACCCCAAAAGGTGGGTGCTGCTGTTTTCTAGGGACGAAGTCTCTATGTAATGGGAGCATTTTGATCCTTGCAATCAATGGGATCCCAAGTTTGGTTATCAAATCTATGAGCCCCTTTTTTGGTGATGTGCTTTTTGAAAGGTGGCACCTTGGGCTGGGCGAGGGTGCAAAAACATATCTTTCACGACCTCCCCGTCCCTCTTCTCTGAGATGCAAGGCGACGCCTCAGCGTGCCAGTCCTACCTGGATGATTTGAGAGCCTGCCAGCAGGCTCAGTGAGGCTGAGAGAAAGAGCGCCCCATGTACAGCCGGCGCCTGCACGTTTGAACCCCCGCTCCAAGCGTCCAACGAAGGAAGCCCCACAGAAATGCAGTTGTTTTTATAGAACCTGGAACAAAATTGTTTCGCTTGGGACCAGTAATTCCATGATGGACCTTTGGAGTCAGCGGGAATGTTTTCTTTAGGTACAGATTCCTGGGCGTCTTGCAGCCGACGGTCAGTCGGAAACGTACAGACTCAACTGCCCGCTGACTGCTTCATTGCCTGATGATTTATGTGAGTCACATCAGGTCATCAGGTTGGACCCAATGTGGGTATTTTGGCGGCTTTCTGCCAGAAACTGCAAAGAACTTGCGTAGTGACTGGGGCCCTTGAAGTTGGCGACTTTTGGGCTTTCTGGTGTTAGGTTGAAACCGCCATCCGGAATCCAGTCCCAAGGCAGTGAAGCCGTCAGAGTCTGCTGCTTGAAGGTTGGGGTAGGCAAAGCGCCCGCCCCAGGAGACGACCACAGAAAGCGATCAAGAAAATGCCGTGATGCAAAGGGAGATCAAAGGGACACCGTCCATTTTGGGGCGGCCCATTTTTGAGACGGTTTCAAGGCTTTCTGGTAGAAACAAGACAACGACAAAACATGTGACCGGCTTCAACGCATTAAAAAAAAGAAAAACATGTGACCGGGCCCCCCTCCCCCAGGCTTGCTTCATGAAGCCTTTGGCCAGGCTATGGACGCACAATTCGCCGGAGTCAGGGATGAGGAGTCAAAAGCAATTGGGGGCCCCCACAAAACACGAAAATGGACCTCAGGTGGGAACACCAAGGAACATTTCACCCAATATGTTAATTTGTCTCTGGGAATACAATGCCTTTCCCAGTGACACAGTGGCTGCGAAATTCGCAATGCCCCACATCATTGGCACCATATGTTTGTCGCATTGTTTGCGGAAGTGTCTCTTCCGCCCATACCGAGTCTCTTCCAAAACACCCAAATGAGCCTGACTGAACATCTCGTAATTACCGGTGACTGTGGGTGTGTGTGTGTGTGTGTGTGTCTCTCCCCCCAAACAAGAAAATAACACAAGCCAGGGTGCCAAAGGGCTGTGATCTTCCGCTCTCCACAAGTTATGTTCACCAACCCAAACCAAAGCCTGAAAGTACGATCAATTCCCGCGCCGCGAAAAACAACAGAAACGGTGCTTCTCGCGTGTTGACCCTGTTGCGAGCCCCGACCCCTGCACCCTTGAAATCGAACAACGTTGGAGGGACAGGGCCAGGGCCAACGCAACGAACAGATTTTCAAGTCCATCGTCACCCAGATCGAAGATCTCAAGAAAAAAGGCTCCAAAGACCTGTGGAGGCCCGCTTCACGGGCGGCTTCAAGGCCGCGTGCTCGGAAAAGAACCGCCTCGTGGTGGTGAGTCCGCTTGGGGGGAAATCCGAAGGGACCACGGACCACTTTTAGAGGGAGACACACCGACTTTCTGCGTTCCTAGACTTGAAGCTTTTTGGGAAGGCCTTTGCAGTGGTAAGCAAACCGTTTAGCTTTTTTCTGGCCAATCGGCGGGACCTTCTTTAGGCACTTTCACGACAAGCTTTCGCCTTCGTGTTGGCTTTCGCGGGGGCTCCAAAGGACATCGCTGTACTTTTGGTTACCAGGGTTCAACGGCAGCGGCCAGCCAGTCAGGCTTCGCCCTGTGGAACAACCATGCGACTCTTGCCCAATGTCCGTGTTTCTCACTTCCTGAGTCCCGCGAAAGCGGACATTCCGAAAGGCTAAAGGAAACGAAGCCCGCGAAAACAAAAAACATGTGGTCGCGGAAGGGCTCGCGAAAGAGCACGCGAAAGGGCACGCGAAAGCAAGCTCATAGGACCGCTTTTAGCTGGTTTCCTTCAAACACCGTCCTACAAAGGTAGGGGCCCCCTGCTTTGACTCATATCGTATCGTGGCCCTCTGGCATGACTATGGAACCCCTGCTGATAGGCCCTTTATTCCTTTTTCTTGCTTCTCGGCCGCAACAAGTCCCAACCTAATTCGCGCTAACATCAACGAGGCTTCCGTGGAGTTTTCAGACATTTTGGTGTTCCATGTTGCAAGAGTTCCACAGAGGCGACGCCTGCTTCACGTGTGTCAATGGTAAAACAATTCACTGCATGGGGATGCTCTTGTTCAAATCAGCTGGTTTGGCAAGCATTTTTCATGATTCCCAAGAACTTTGGTACTCCTTGTTTCACGCTCGTGAGATCCTGAGGCCGCCGACTTCTCGGCCGCCGAAGTCGGGGCCCCCGCCCGAGTAAGATACGCGCCGGCCACGGCAGCAGGGGTGGCCGTGGCGCCAGTGGCGCCGGTGGCGCCGGTCGCCTCAGCCGCGTCGGCGCCGGTCGCCTCAGCCCCGGCTGCGTCTGCGGCGGTGCCGGTGCCGGCGGTCGCCGTGGCGCCGGGTGCTGTGGCACCAGTCGTCGCGCCAGCCTCCACACAGGCGGGCGAAGATGTCGAAGATTCCGCTGAAGATAAGGTCACCGGCGGTGAATTCAGCTTGGGGTTTCCTGGGCCGTGTCGTTTGATTTGCAGCTGTTTTGGAGGGTGCGGGGCTTGTGGAGATGAAAAAACGATGCAGCCGCTGTTCGTCTCAAGCGGCCATATGTGGTTGTGATGCTGCCAATCGCAAAACACTGGCGGAAACAATCCGGACAAATTATAACGAGCTCACGGAGTGAACTAATCTCACCCACGATGAAGGTCTCTACATTGATTCCATTTGATTCCTCACTTCCAGCTTAATTATGTTTGAAGTGTTGTTCGGACACAAGTGGTCGGACACCGAATAGAGGCGAACATTTGGTTGACTTATGGACGACTTGCGCAGAGCTCAGTGGCCGCATTGGTCAAGCAGCTCCAGTTCTCCCCCAGGCTCCGGCCGGCAACAGCACCGACGCCAGGCGGGAGTGTTAGCGGAGACATCTTTGCCTTTGACTCTTGTGATGGTACAACACATCTGAATCCCAGGTCTGGGGTTGAACGTTGACCAAGAGACCAATTTGGTGCGTTCAAGGATGTCTATCCTGAACAGTGACGGGATCTGACGGGAAAGACATCGAGCACAAATCAGAGCCATGTTGGGCTCCAAAGACGCCCAACTCCTCAAGCCCTGGATCTCTCTTCAGGCATGGCAATTCTCTGCAAGCTCCCAGGCCAGGTCTAAGGCTTCCATGGAACCTGGCTTTCAAGGCCACAGGAGGGCTTGAAAATGCTGAAAACCTCTCTTTAGGCGACCTTGGGTTTTCCGGCTTCACCGTCAACACATGTTTGAACGACATCGCTCGGCCGAGTCGAGGTAGTCCCTTTTTGGAAGTTGAAGGGGACCCTTCCCCTCCCCCCAAAAAGAAGAGCAATAGCAAAAAATCAGGGACCCCACCAGAAAAAGAAGAAAACGCATCAAACAACCGAAGCCCACCAGAGGTGCGAGGTTTCCCGCGCTCAGGGGCTGCGACTCGGCGGCCGGGCTGTCCTGCACTGCCCAGCGGGCTCGGAGACTCGGAGCTCGATTTTTTTCGAGGTATGGGACTCCGGGGCTTCCGCAGACCCAAACTTGGTTGGTTTCTTGGTGGCTCCCGGCCATCTGGTTGGTTTCTTGGTGGCTCCCGGCCATCTGGTTCCATAGCCTCTCAGCCTTTTAAAGTCGGTTTAGTGGTGGGGTTTACATTTTTTTGAAAGTTTGTGGCTTGTAGCAGGGGATCTGAGGGCAGCCCGTTGACCGCCTGTCCTCCCAAGGCGTTCAAGAAGTGAGGCTCGGTCTGGCACACCTCTGGAGTGGGATAAGTGCAGAGCGCATGGCCCTGTTAACCTTTTGCCACGCAACATGCGACTTTACGCAAGACCTGCCATAACTGCCCACCTGGCCACCTGCAACCGTGGGGACTCTACTGGGACTTTTGATTTGAGCATAGCCTCGGGTATCATTTTGTTAGTGATTTTCCCCAATGGTCGTCCCATGTTTACCGGACCGTTTGATCGACCCTCAATTACTATTTTACTCAGTGGGCTGCCGCACATTCAAGTATAACATAATCTCTAGCTCTCCCCTGAAGAAAGCTACAACTCATTCTAGGCACACGGATAGTTTGCAAGATTCTGGCAAGCTCACCGCTCAAGGTGCCACGAAGCTCAATTTTGCTTGGTGCATGATTGACAAGGTGAATCCTGGTTGGACGAGTTTATCTTGAGCGCGTTTTTTTGATTCAGGGCTGGCCGCTTGTTGTTCGGCTTGGCTGCAAGTTGGCCTGACGGAGTCTGTTTGACAAGACAGCCAGCGCCAGATTCAGCTGAATGCAAGGACTCTATTCCTGGTCAAGTGAGCAGAATCATATGGGACAGTCATTCTTTTTGCCACATTTGGCTCAAGTCATCTAGCTGATTCACGCCATCTGATACTAGGACTATCTGGCAACAAGCAATGAGGACACTCGAGGCCCGGCGCTTGATGCAAGCATCAAGACCGGGAGCGTCCGATTTCTCCAGACGGCTATTTGTGTAATGGTTCTACCTGGTTTCGTTGCGGTAGTAAGGCCTAGAATACGGGTCTGTCCTTTTTCGGGGATACCCGTGTTTGGGGGGGTTTAAAGAAAAACAGGAGAAAAAAAAGAACCAAACAAAAACACCATTTGGAGGGGTCCAACCTGAAAAAAGACGCCCATGTGAGCCTTAGGGAGTGCCAAAGATCTTCAGCGGGAAGAGAGAGCGCTTCCCCCAACTTCGGGTGGCGCGACTAGCCCAGTTTTTCTTTTGGCGCCATCTCCAAAGTTTGTGAAGGTCAGTGTTCAAACCTGGAAAGCAAATGAAACCTTTGGCCGGAAAGACCACGATTTGGAGATTGGAGGTTTCTCTGACTTAGTTTGATGAGGTCCTACCGATTCCGCCACCTTCTCAATAGCTAGGATGTTTGTCGTTACCGACAAAGCTTTCATTAGCAGAGCATTGACTGAGGAGAGGATCTTTTCAGTAAGCGAGAGCAGTTTGGACCTTCTTTTTTTTGCCGATCCACTCAGCCAATCCGGACCACCACCACCACCACCACCACCACCACCACCACCACCACCACCACCACCACCACGCAAGCAAAGCTGCAACCTCGGGTTGGAGCTGGTTCCATCTGAGCAGCCCTCAAAGCCCTAGATGGTTCTAGTTTTTGGAACAACCCCTCAAGGCTTCTGAGCGCCAAATTATTCTCCTTGCCGGAAAGGTACTTGCGACTAGATGGGCTGTCTCATGATGAAGGCTTCTTGCTTGGGGGTCCCGAGACCCAATGCTTTTCATGAAGCCTTGGAACCACTTTTTGCAGCGGTCGAGTCTTTTTGTCTTAGATTGTCTACTTACACATTCTTTAGCATGCAACTGGTGAACCTCCCAGCTGGAGAAGAATGTTTCAACACTGGGAAGCTCCGACTGGTGGCAAATCGCCATGGGGTGTCATCATGTACTGAGCCATTTGCCTGACCGTTGGGCGCCGTTGGGTTCCATCGGCAGGCAACCATCTTCTCAGTGACCTGCTTGCTTGCCGCTTCAACCACCTCACACAGTGTTGAGGTGGGGGGTCTGTGGATGGTTGGTGGGCTTTTCCCAAAGTGATGTCAAGGTTTGCCTTTGAATCTCCTTCAACAAAGCCCAGACTTCCAGCGGGGGGTCATTTTCCTGTGGCGTTTTCCTTAATTATGTCCGTTTGCTCCAGGACCGTCCTTTTCCCCTTGTCGGAACCCCTGAGGCATCCCTGAAACGGGGGCTTGTTGGATGGTGTGAAAGGGAGACCAAAGGCAATCCACCCATTTCACGCGGACTCTAATTCTGAGAGAAAGCCCAGTCCCTTACTCCACTGGTTAACATGGACCCCAAGCAACTTTTGGGCAACACTCGACTAGCGGCATGGAATAGCTGGACTTCCGAGTGGAGTGTTGACCGCAATCAGACACGTGACTTCGTTTGCAGCGAGTTGGACGCGGGTCTGATTGCGACTCTTTGCCACCGGCGAAGTTTTGGAGGGAACTCTCTGAGGCCTTCCGCAAGAGAGGAACCGAAATCAAGACTGGAGCACAAAACGGGCACAAGAACGGGCCAACGAACACGTGTTGCGTTTTTGGTTTTCTTGATCGTGACAAGCATTTCTGATAGCAGGTCTTTTGCAGTGGAGTTGCACCGACGAAAGGAACGCAAAAGGCGCCCTGTCTCCCATCATAGTGGGGCGCTAGCCAAGCCCTTCGACCAGAACGAAAGTCGACGAAAGTGACGCTTCCAGCAGTAAATCGTCAAGTGGCTCAATTGCATCTCAAGAAGCAGAATAGAAGACAATTGCTCGAGGAAGGCGAAAGGAAGGCGACAGGGGAGGTGACCAGGCACCTTGAATTTTAACAACCCCAATTGGGCACCCCAAAGCGCTTCAGCCTGTGAACATGTCCTTCTTTCCGGCACAAAAACGGCCGAAACCCATCAAAGAAACCCGCGCGCTTTAGACTTTCAATGGTGGAAATGTCTCCGCGGTATGGCGTGGCTTGATTCTTTCACGGTCACGCTGGCCGCAAGCCAATGGTCTGGTGGAAGTCTGGAGTCTTATTGCTCACAGCGCGCATATAGATGACAGAACTTGCTCCCGCAAGAGCATGCCGCAAGCTCGGCACCGTGACGCGTGGCGATCAGCGACTTCACGCAGAGTGGTTGCAACATTTGCAACGAGGACAGCTTGCCAAGCAGTGCTCCAGCATGCGCACGATGCCACGCCAAGGCAAGCACCAGCCCTGGCAAATGCAAGTCCTAGGAGGGCAAAGTTTGCAAGCGCGACCGGTTCTCAGAGAAGATGTCGCGACTCGGCAGCCTGCGTGCACCCTACTTGGCAGCTCAGACCAGATCTGGCAGACGGGCCTTTTTGCGGCAGCCTCCGAACATGCATGACCCTTCCGTTCCCCCTATGTGCCTCCCCTCCGGGATTTGATCGGTTTGATATCTCTGCCCAAGCGGAAGCTTTGCGATCCCACTCGCAAGTTTGATTCGGGCGCCTCCCCTGACAAGAGAAGTTCTTTACAGTGGTTCGAGCTATCAGCGGGATCGAGGCGTTTGCTTCACTTACACTAGAAACCTTCACGCCGTTGAAGACCTGTCCGCTAGACTCAGCAATTTGCACCCGCTATCACCCGCTCTGACACGTCTAGTCTAGGCAGCTGTTTGCGGGGAGATGCCTTGCAGTTGCTTGTCTTGTAAAGGCTGGACGTGGCATGGCAGTTTGACACGTGCCCCTTGTTTAACACACACACACACACAAGTGCGTGGAGCAAACAGCTGCTGTTGCCCTCACAAAAAGTTTTGGGCGCAGAGGGCGATTCCAATTGCTTGCGTGCCCTCTTGCCTGTTGGGTCGCTGGCTACCAAACAAATGTGCCTCATACATCGGTTGTTTGCCGATGTGGCGCGCGCAACGGGGGTGCGGGGGCCCTAGCGAGTTTGGGCTAGAGGTATGCGCAACGCCGATAGGCGCGCGCGTGCCCGAAACTTGTGTTTGGCTTTTGGGAGAAGACACAGCCTCCACACCCCCAATCTCACAGGCCCAAGAACGAGCGCTTCCGACCGGCCGTGCGGCGTGTAGGTCAACACCACGCAGCTGAAGGAGGACACCCCCAATTCCTTCACATGGCTGCAGGTGTTGCAGGCACGGTGTGAGGATTGGGCAGGCGAAACATGTGGGACACGTCAGCCTGATTTGTGCCCAAATGAAAAACTCACAAATCATCAAGTTGGGGTCCTGTTCGTTTCGTTTGAAAGGAGTTCCTCCAAGGACACAGGCGTCATCAGGTAAGTGGATATGGTTTGCCCCCCGCACAAAAGGGTTTGACTTCCTGTTGGTTTGTTTCGTTTGAGACACCCCCCGAGAAGGAGACATCCAAAAAACCGCGTCCGCGAGATGTGAGTGGGCAACATATGAGGCGCGGAACACTGTAGCCATGACGAAAGGGCCTTGTCAAATTTGCAGCTTTAAAATAATGACAGTTACCCACCAAGGCCCCCTGTGGACATTTGTTGAGATGAACCGCGTTTCAAGCAGCCCTGGGTGCGGGGTTTTGCCCACAATCATTTGTCGACCTGAGTTGGAGAGGGGGTGGTTGGATTTGACCGGTACCCCTGAGTTAAACGTGGTTGAATCACCTTGACTTCAAAGTATGCTGTCTACGTATTTGATTTGGCCAAACCCTGGGAGGGTGTTTCAAGGGATAGCTGAAGCTTAGTCCACGTGAGGGGCTGACAAGATGTCAAGGTGGGTCCGAATCAACTTTCAAGGTGGCACGAAACAATACCCTCACCAGGCTCCCATGACAGCCGATGCGCCTGTATTTGTTCAATCTGACACACCCATTTCTCCAAGCGTGGCCGAGTTGGTTTGCAGCCAGATCCACAGATTTTCCAGCACCCCTCCACAAAAACAAACACTCCAAAATCATCCTCTTTTCCAATTCAGTCCATCCTCTACAAATAAAGTCCGCTCTTGGGGAACGGACCCTCGTTTTTTTTGTTTTTTTTTCAGAGCCGCGCCGCAGGAACCAGCGAAGATCCAGCAGATCAGGATCCGCTGGCCCACCCCAGGCGAAGCGGAGCGAGGTTCAGCGTGAATCCGCACACCTTGGCCCTTGAGTCTGTCTCAAAAGTCGGGACTTGTTGCATGGTTTGAACCGACTGAAAGGAGGCCAAGACCCACCCCCCCCCCCCAAAAAGAAAAAGGAAATAAAGAAAGAAAAGAGAGAGACATCTCCAAGCCCAGAGATGGACCTGAGGGTTCTGGAAGAGTACCGGTCCGCTTGAATCCCTTGGACGGAGAGTCCTAGTGATCCATTGAAAGAGGACCCGGCCCTGATTGGCATGGAGTCCAGATGTCTCCGAATTGTTCTGGAGCGGACATATCGGGGAACTAAGGAAAAAGTAACATGCTGCTTGCTTGTGAAGTGAACAACATATCGCAAACTTTAATTGAACACGCCCATGCAGCAATGAAGGGGGGCCCCTGAGTTTCTGACGCACCGCTACTTTAAAATTTGCCAACCCACTGACCCCTGGTTCTGTCATAGATCCTGGGATGGTGTCGAGCCCCTTATTCAAGAGCTCAACGAGTTGTTGCTGTAGGGAGTTCCACTGTTAGGCAGCTGGATAACGTTCTTCCCAGCCACCGGATGAAGCACTATGATGTTTGTCAACTGGCCAAACCTTGGTTAAGACAATAATAATTCGGAAGAGCAGGCCGCAAGCAGCAAAGTCATCAAAGCCCTTCTGAAGCATACGGGTTCCCGGGTGCTGTACATACTTCAGAGTTTTTCATCCCAAGCTGGTGTTTTGAGTTTCCTGAACCTTGTGGGGAAGCCTCGCTCTTGGAAGGGTGAACATTTCTCCGATAGGCTCTGACACTACATCAACTGGCGATAATACACCACCAGGACAAAAGGTGTTCTTCTTGGGCAGTGAGCGCAAGCCTTTCCCCGCAGAAACTTGGGGTTTCAGAGACGGACATGCGGGTTGCTTTTACGCAACCTGAATTTAACAGACAAACATAATTCCATGCTCAAAATCGATTGTATAATTCGCAGTTCGGGCGCTTGGTGACATCCCTTCCTGAAACGGTCTGAAACAGGCTCATGAATTTGCCCGCCATTCCGGAAACGAGGCGCCGGAAATGACAAGGAGACCAACCCAGACTAGATGAAAATGGTGTGTTCCCTATGATACCAAGGGAATCCCCACTAAAACGAGAAGTAGTGATAGGAACCAAGCACTTTGGTAACACAGATTTCGGTTGGTTTGTCACAATGAGTTTATACTTCCAAGATCAAAGGGCCCAGAAAACCTGATCCATGACCAGAGGCATGTCCTCCAATCCCCCTTGGGTTCAACCCAGCTTAAATTCCCTGTGTTCTTTTGAAGGGGTTGTGGTTGTGGTTGTGGTTGTTGGTTGGTTGTTGGTTGTTGGTGTTGTTGGCCAAACAAAAAGGCAGCTTGGCCTCTGGGAATGTGGCCGAGGCGAGATCGCTTTGCACATGGCGGTGGCTGCAGCGATCACCACCGGCGCCGCCCTTGCCTTTAGGCGGGGGTGGGGTTGGCCTGGGGAGGGAGTACAGGAAGGGCGGGGTTCCCTATGTCGTGCCTTTTCTCAGTTGCCCAAAGGGAATCGACTTTTTGATGTTTTGGTTTTACGGCTTTGGTCCAGTGTTTGATAAGTTGAAATGCCATTTTGTGGGCTAGTTTGGGAGTGATGTTTGTCGTGAGCCCTTTCAAAAGTGGAGCACACTCCGTGATACTGTTGTGTATCTATACATGTTATGCAAATATATTCAATATTATGTATATACATTAATATGTAATATGGATAATATATATATAGATGTGTATATATATATATATATATGTTAATACACACGTCGATACATATATGTATATACATACATATGTGTGGCATTAATATCTCGGCAGGGCTCCGTATCTTCCCCTTTTGGATTGCTTCAAACACCTTGGCCCGTTTGAAGTATCCTTTAGACTGACTGTTTTGGACATAGAGGCAGCCCTGAGATTCGGGGCTCAATTTGTGTCCAAAACCCCGGGGAACCAACTCCTGGAAATCTTGGCACTAAGTATATATATATATATGTATTCTATGTGGACATACAAAGCTGCCACATCCCGGAATTCAGTGGTATCTGAGTCCTTGTCTTTCTTTATGATGTTGATCTAATTTATCATTTGTTTGCGTTACTTGTTTGTTTCTTTATTCACATAAATGTACGTATTATGTTTTTGCTTCTTCTAAATTTAGTGCCTCGCCGTGCAACATATGAATCTATGTGAGAGGTAGAGACTTCAGGGACCGCCGCGTTTTATTTTGCGGCAGGCACTTTGTAAAGGCCTGGCCTGAAGTGCACGAGGACGCCATTGCCAAAGAGAAGCTCGGCTGCTTTTGGCTTGTGGTGCTGTTTTCCGGGGATGCCGTTTTGGGCTGGAATTCTGTATTCTGATTGGGGTGTTGAAGGTTTTAGTCGTTTTGCTATAGTATATGTATGTGTTTTTGTATTAGTATGTTTGTTCATGAGTTTGTTTGGGTTATTTGCTTTGTGTGTTTGTCATTGTGCTGTATGGCGTGGTGTCTTTGTGCATGTTATGTCGAAATGTTCATGGGTTTTGCCGATTTCTGAATCCAGGCGTTTTGGCGAGGTTTGCCACCCATGACTCAATGACTGGAAGAAGCGAAACGGAGATGGCGATTTTGCCCGGCTTAGCAAATAGCACCAAGCACCAGTCTCAGCCTTTCGTGCCTTGGACAATTCGAGCCAGAAAGAACGGGGCATATGCCCGCATACGGCGGCTATAAAGTGGCTGTGTGTCTCACCTTCTCGTCCACAGGTTGTGTTGCAACCTCATTCCAGAGGAAGGTTTCTCAGATTTCTTTCTTGTGAACCCATATTTTTTGGTGCTGAGTTGTGTTCTGCCTAGATATAATGTTGGTTCATGTTGGTTTTCTCTTTGAACAGTATTCTGTTTTTGGTCGTCTTACTTGACTGCGTTCCCTTTGTTGTTGGTGTTTTGCAGTTTCACTTTGTTCAACTTATTTCAGCGCTAGTCACGGTTCAACCCGAAAGATGATCGTTTGAACCGCGGAGAGTGCTTCTAAATCAGCCATCTGTTTTAATTACCCATCTCACTTTGATTACCCATCTCACTTCCCACGTGAGAAGCGCTCAAAACTCCATTGCTCATGTTATAGGTGGTTCTACCTGCTTTGAGTTGGGGGTTCTAATATTGACTGTAGAAAACCTTTATATCAAAAACTCGTTGGCCTTCCTCGGCACCAAGGAAGCTGAACGTCTGGTCATCTGGGCCTTTCGACTGCTTCCAGGACATGAGCAGCTGCTGCTGGACGTGCCGCCTGGCAGAGTCCCTTGAAGACTGGGTCCAGCTAGGTGCCCTTTGGCCCACTTCTGTTGGGAGGGCGGGTTCCCTGTGGATTCCAACCAGCAAACCACTCCAAGGTGTCCCTGCTCTCCTAGGTCCCCCAATAGTGCCCTTTCACCGTTTCTTTTTTGGGGGAGGGTTCCCCCAGTAAATCAATCGACTACAGAAAAAAGATCGGGTGCCCTTATTCTAACCTCCCTACTGGAGGACCTTGAGGTAGTTGGTCTTCCAGGTACCTTCCCACAGCCATGTTAGTGTTAGGATGATTTTTTGACCTTCAACCGTTCCAGCATCGGAAAAGGCCTTGTTGCTCACTGGGTTGTGAGAACAACCATGTTATTTCCCTTGGTTTGTGGAAACACATAGAGGTAATTATGCCTCTTCGGTTCCCACGCGATTTTCTTGTTTGCACCAGTAAGCCTTGTTCTGGGCCAAATCAGCAGGTTGGAGAGGCCGACCTTGGCCCAAGGAGGGTGCGGCCTTTTTTCCCCCCTTTTGACCTTGCACTTGCCCAAAGGAATTCGCCAGATCTGGGCTGGCTAGATGTTGGCTCATGTTCATTCAGGGCTCCAAGTGGGTGGTACGTTAGCTTTCAGGTCATGGGAAGCTCCTGAGACTCCTTGACAGGGGCTCCCTGTCCAGATGACTCCAAGGCCTGAAGTAGTGCAAGTGTCCATGGCAAAACTGGTGCTTGTTGTGCGTGTTGAGCAACTCCTCTTTTAACCAGGAAAAACGTTGCGTAGAAGCAAACGGCCATGGGTGGCGGGCCGCTCATGTTTGTGCCAATAAGTGGGAGGGTCTCGAACAGAAATGTGAAACAGAACACTTCTCCCTTGGGTGGAAAAGGTCCTACAATGGAAACTGATGACAATTCATAGGGTGGACTCAGCCATTTACCCCCCTCACGTATTGCAAGTCACTCAATAACTTGTTTCCGCGTGAATTGTTTGTGTTCGGGATCTGATGCCCGTTTGGTTTCCCAATAATCCTTGTTTGCCGAGCCAGGAGACGGGTGCAGTTTGATTCGCGGCTTCAATAGCTTCCAAGCATCGGCGTAGGCACCCCTTCCTTGCAGGTCACTGTTCAAGCACGCTGTATGCGTTTTTTTAAGTTTCGGGTGAACCCGGAAATTGGTGGTTTCCCTTGTGCCAAAAAAAAAGTGGCCTCTGAAATCTGGAGGCACAAGAAAAAGCCAACTTCTAGCCTCTCAGATCTGGAGGACCCAAGGACCTCCGCCTGGGCTCCGCAAAAAGCGACCGCGCGCCGCGCGAGCAAAGAGCGAGGCTGGTGCCCAGGAGTTCGCTGGGCGGCGAATGTGGACATGCGCCCTGGCGGCGACGGGCGGCGGAACGTCGGAAGCCATATGAAAGTTTGATGGACAAAGCAAGAAGAGATAGATCCCTAGATAGCCAAGTTGCGATCGCTTTTTTCCAGTCACTGTTGCTGGATTTTTTGGGGTAAAGTGGATGGAAAAAAGCCAAATATTTGGCTATTGTGCGGATTTCCTCTTTTGTATTTTCCCTTCAAAACCAGAGAAAATAACAAATACTCGTTTCAGATGCTTCAGCAAATGGAAGTCAAGCAGTTGCATGCTGTGGATGCTTGCTAAATCTGCTTCTTGCACCCCCGTCTGAGTAAATACCAGGCAAGCCGCTCGATTAGTTTGCAGGGTAGCGAAATGAATCTCGCAACCATCCACAATACGGGTACCTGTCAAAACAGGTTTCTTTTTGGTGGCTTTTGGTGGTTTCCTTTTGGTGGTTTCCTTTTGGTGGTTTCCTCATGGTGGTTTCCTTTTGGTTTCCCTTCAAGCAAACCCCCCAAAAAGGCGATCTAGGTCCTGGGTTAAAGTTTAGGGTCGATGTAAGTTGACGAAGTTGTTGACTTGAGGGACTTAATTCGCCCTAGAACCAATCGATTCTCCTGAAAGGAGAACCAGGGCCTTGCCGGAAATGTGGGCGTGGCGGCCCTTACAAAAGGCAACAAGTCTTCCAACTGCCACAGGTGTACGTCATTGTCCGCGAGACAATTTTGGGGAAGGCCTACACACTGCTCAAAGGGACCCTGGATGAACAAACCCGTGGTTGATTAAAAGGGAGGGATGCCACCTTTTGGTGGGACTATAAGTAGGACGGGCTTATTCCTCTGAGTCCACATGATTTGCTTTTTTGGGGGGTCCTCAATGTCCAACTTCGTTGGACCAGTGCCACCCAATTGGAACCCACGAAGTTGATCGATGGTTCATGGTTAGGTTTGAAGAGCTTCAGGGTAGAACAAGCTCACCCATGCTGGTTCTTTGATTTGAAGCTTCCTCACCCTCACCAAGCACCTGACAGGTGATCCCTCCCACAGGTGCCAATGCAATTTCTGCAGATCATTGGTTCTAGAAGAATATTGACATTGAGGAGAGGTGTCTTTGAACTTTTGCGGAAAGAAAATACGAACACTTATGCTACACACATTGATATAGTTGATCATCCGGAAAACGGAGGTCTCTACGTTTCGCTTCAAAAAGCTACGCTAGGCGTTTTGGGGCCTCAAAGAGGCCCTTGTTGAGGTCCAAAACCGTCCCAGTGGATGTCCTGACCCCTTCAATGGAGGGTCCAATGATGATTAGGCTAGTGATAGCTCGTGTAAACATCACTTTCTGATCGAGCGTGAGTCACCATTCTTTGATGCTTGCGGACATATCCGGGGCTCTCTTGTTGATTCATCCTGTCTGGAGGGCTTCCCCATTGAATTCGGAGTTCCAAAAGTTGAAGCGTTTCCTGTTGGTGGTCTTTGGGGGAAGACTTGAATCCTTGGGCGGTTGACCCTGGTAATTCAAACGCTCAAGGTTTTTCTCCAATTTTGGGTGCATGCTTCAGGGTGCTTCCCTTTCAGCAATTCAGCTGAACAAATCATTCGGACGCATCCAATTTGGAGAGACCAGGACTAGTTGTCGAGTCTGCTTTTCGAGCTTTGGAAAACCAGGACCCCTCCAAGTTGTCTTCTGCTTTTCGAGCAATAGAGATGCGAGGATCGATCGAGCAAGAGAGATGCCTCAGGATTCTTTCTTCAGCTTCGGCCGGCTTGCTTTTGTTTCTGGCCCTTGAGCTGCTCCCACCGTTCCCCTGGGCTCTATGCATGCGCTCGTGGCGGCCGTCCTCACTACCTACCGCGCCTCGGCTCGTCCGTCCCCCCCCGAACGGGCGGGCGCGTTTTTTTTTTTTGGGGAACCTCTTCAGGTCAAATTTGGAGGGACAACGAAACCGACATGAAACCAACCTTGGGGTTTGTTTGAGCAAGGCTGGACTTTCGCTCGAAGCAGAAGAAGCCAACCTTCTTTGCCATCCAATCCAATCCTGCCTCCCCGAAAAAACGCGGAGAACCAGTGGCGGGGTGGGTGGGTGGGTGGGCGGGGCGGGGGGGGGGCGGGGGGCGGGGCAGAAGCCAGAAAATAAAAGGGGGGGGGCGGGGGGCGGGCGCGAAAGGGCGGGCAGGGGCGGGGGGGGCGGGCGGGGGCGGGGGGGGGCGTAATGGGCGGCGGCGCGGGCGGGGCGGGGCGGGGCGGGCGGGTGGGTGGGTGGGTGGGTGGGTGGGTGGGGAGGGGAGAAGCTTTGTTTGTTGATGCAACACGCATCAACATAGACATTGGGTGTGGATTAGGGTTGTTATGTGTGGATATATGTTGTTGATTTTGTTTGCTCCTGGTTGTACATGACATTTGTTTGTGTATTGCAGTTTGCTGTTGTGTTGCTGATGATTGGTGTTTGTTGATGTATACGTGTGGGTGTTTGCTTGCTTGCTTGCTTGCTTGCTTGCTTTGCTTGCTTGCTTGCTTGCTTGCTTGCTTGCTTGCTTGCTTGCTTGCTTGCTTGCTTGCTTGCTTGCTTGCTTGCTTGCTCGGTGGGTGGGTGGGTGGGTGGGTGGGTGGGTGGGTGGGTGGGTGGGTGGGTGGGTGGGTGGGTGGGTGGGTGGGTGTTTGGGTGGGTGGGTGGGTGGGTGGGTGGGTGGGTGGGTGGGTGGGTGGGGAGGGGAGAAGCTTTGTTTGTTGATGCAACACGCATCAACATAGACATTGGGTGTGGATTAGTGTTATGTGTGGATATGTTTTGTTGATGACGTTTGCTGCTGGTTGTACATGACATGTGTTTGTGTATTGCAGTTTGCTGTTGTGTTGCTGCTGATTGGCGTTTGTTGATGTATACGTGTGGATGTTTGTTTGTTTGCTTGCTTGCTCGGGCGGTCGGTTGGTTGGTGGGTTGGTGGGTTGGTCGGTTGGTCGGTTGGTCGGTTCGTCGCTTGGTCGCTTGGTCGCTTGGTCGCTTGGTCGGTTGGTTGGTTGGTCGGTTGATGTTCACATAACAACCAGTACTGATACCATTTATCGTTTCTGTCATGGCCGTTTTACACATGCATTGTGTTGTCATGTTCGGAATGCATCATTCGTTTCATAGTAACACACACACACACACCGCCAATGTCCACCTGGTTGAGCCTTGCTCTGATCTACCATTGGGACAAGTACAACAGCGTGTCTAGCGTTTTTCAATGGGTCAGTTTGACCAACCAAGCAGAAGTTCGGGGAGACTGGGAATTGAGTCATACATGCCTTTGGCCTCCTGCCCAGGCAACAAGATGCGTGTGGTCTTCGGGATGCAAGGCGCCAACGAATGTCCCACAGCACCTCAGCTTCCGAATCTGAAAAGCAACGGGTGTGTGTGTGTGTGTGTCAAAAGCAGGGGACCCCAAAACGCGCCTCCTTTGAAGCAACCCCAAAAGGGTATCCTCGAAAAAGACAAACCCAGAGAAGATCTATTCAAACTCCCACGTTCGATTTTGGGGTTAACGCAGCCTCATGAAGCCTTCTCGGGACTCCTTATGCCCGGATGGACCAAAGTAATTTGTCCATCTCGAGCGTTTCATT